TCACAAAGAATCCTCTATTGGGATTTCAAAGGTGAGAACGCTTTGAAGAGTCTGCTTCTGTCAATTATGGTCAGAAATGCACATGAAATGTGTCCAGGCTTCAAACATATTAATGGTACGATTCGCTTCAGGCAAATTCACATGACAGAACAAGCCAGGGTGGCTTCTGCTTCAGCATGGTCTGTTGTGACGTCTGAACCCTGTTGTGGTGTTTCGGCATGGTGTGTCTGGTTTTCAGAAACCACGACAAGAAACACCAGTCTGTTCGGTGGTCTCCTTGCTTCACCATGGTTTCTCTGATCATCTGAAGCCAGCATCATGGTTTCCACCATTGTGGTATGTGGCTTCGACAGAGTTGCTCCAGCTGGGTCGTGTGGGATCAAATTTCAGGTGTGGTGGCTGACGGGACACATGCCCATGGCGGCAGGACTGAGAGAGGAGGGTGGAAACTATGCTAGTGTTGAAGCTACTTGTCTGCCTGGTGCATCCGGGCAAAAAACCGCATGGGGTGGGAACCATGCAGGATTGCTGCTCATGACGTGTGAACCCAGCCTCTGCATGTGGTTTCAGAAAGCAGGTCCACCATGACATGCACACAGAGCTGGAGGCACGCTTTCAGCTGCGAGCATCTCTGACGCGATGAGAGGCGAGGAGAAGCAATGCCTGTGAAGTGCCCTGAGGATCCCATGAGGGGCAAGATGGTGCTTGGGCTTGAGGGTCCCCACCACCGCTTTCGAGCCCAGCGTAGGGCAGGAAAACGACATCTGTTTGGAGGGCTCGGAGAGAGCCCCCAAACTCCCGTTTCAAAAGCTGCACCTGTCTTCGACCCCCATAATCGGCTGAGTTAGCGCAGTTGGTCCTTTAAGCCACCAGCTGCAACTGGCTACCTCAAAGGAAACAGCTTTATGTCCATTCGTAAAGGAATGATGGATAATGAGCCGGTTCCAGTTAATGACTCAGCCCAGGTCAAATCAAACCTGTCCAAACAAATTAATCACCTTTAGTCGGTGCAACTGATAAGAGGGGTTCGAAATTCAATGTTCTTTTCAGTTTGCCGTGATTATGTTTGACTTATTTTTAACACCCCCACCTTCATTTAATTAGCTTAAGTTAACAAATGGCTTCTTTAACTGGAACTGAAGTTGCTGCTTCAGGAGGGGATGTAAAGGGCTCCATGGTCATACTCATACCTGGCTATGAGGCTGTTTATCAGACTTAGGACGTCAAGGATTTCTGCTTTTTCTCGTTGGCTCGAGTGGCAGAAATGCATTTATAGAATACCCCAGGGGTTAGGCTGGTTGCTGTGCCTATTAGAGATGCCTGGCTGGGAACCACTTAAGCATGCTAAGTCGGTGGCAGTCATGGGAACACGCTTCCCATGCAGAAAGGCCAAGGTGGAACAAGCACATCTTCAGTGAACAGGCTCTGGGGAAGTCCTCTTTGTAAGACCTCGAGCAAGCTCTGCCGGTCAAGGTAGGCATCGCTAGGACAGATGGAGACCAGAGCCAAAGGTTGATGTAGCCGGTGAAGTGGACTGCTACTCTTGGTGGGCTGCCCAGGGCCATAAAGACTGGGATTCTGGAGGAGGAGGAGGAGGAGGAGGAGGAGGTGGAGGAGGAGGAGACAACCTTTAAGAAGTGGAGATGGAAGTTCTGGACAAGCAGGGACAGACTCACAGGTTCCCAGGCTGACCCGGAGAGTGGGAGTGTTTTGGAAGAGACGGGAGGAGCTGAAGCAGGGAGAAAGGAGAGCCACTGCCTTGCGAATTCTCTCATCGCATGGCAGAGCATCAAGAGAGGAGCTGCTTCGTAGAGGGTCTGTGCAAGGCTCGACAGCTGCCCCATCGGCCACTGCACCGGATAGTCAACCTCACGCGCGTCCCGTTTGCCTATTTCTTATGGGTCCACCCATAGAAGGTGGGTGGTTGGGAGGCCCCGTTCGTTCCAGGGCAGTTGCAAAGCACAGCCTTGGAAAACACAGTCCTGGGTTCAGAGAACCCAGCAAGCTATGGTGGTACAGAGAAACCAAAGAACAGAACATCGTTTCTTCTTGTGGTTTCCAAAGACCAAACTTACCACCGTGAAATACCATGACTGGGTTCAGACAACGTCACAGATGTCACAGACCAACCATGGTAAAAACTCATCATGGTTTTTTGTGTTGTCTGAATTCAGAATTTCCAGAGGGCCCATAGAGGTTTTTTTGGCCAAGGGCCCTCTGAAACCTTCAGCTGGCACCATCTAGACGGACGAATTGTCAGTGTCTGTGTACCAAAGCTCTGTAGGGCGAAATATAAGAAAACAGTACACAAGGACCAGATGAAGGCAACACAGCCTGTTGCTATGAGACAAAATGAAATGCAGAGGAACATCAGAACCCGCCCTTGGTGGATTTAGCCCAGCATTGTCAACATGGACTGGCAGCAAAAACTTGGACTGCAGGCAAGCTGTCCATCCAGACCTTACCAAGCTGCTAAATTCACAAGTTGCTTCATGCTCTGAACAAGTTAAAAGGAACTTGCTAAGACAGGAATAATTCCTTGCCAGCGGATTCCAAGTCATGGTGCTGTTTGTCTGTTCTGTGGACATTTTTAAGCCTCTTTTAAGCCACACACACACAGAACTAGTTTGGTGACTCAAAAGAGGCATCAGAGGGTAAGTTAAACATACCTGCCTAAGCCACTGTAGGGGGCTTGGCGCTTTGCCTGGAAATCAGAACCATTTGGATTTTACAATGTGCTCAAAAGTGTCGCCCATTCTTACTGAGAATGTGATAAAAGAACTAGAATTTGAAAGAAGCAGCGATGGGGCCAAGTTTGCCAATGATCCCGGATTATTTAGGGAGGCTAAACAAGCAATGATTGCAAAGGGCTTGAAACAGGTCCCTCCAAACTAGGAGAAGAGTCACCGGAATGAGGAAAGTGTCTAAACGCAAGCAAGTGTAAAGTGATGCATGTTAGGGCAAATGAAATCAAGACTTCGCTTATACGCAGATGGAATCTAAGCCGGCCCTTAAGATCCTGGCAACAGCTCAAGGAGGTCTGCCACTGCACTGAAAAAGACAAATTCCATGTTTGGCATAATCAGGAAAGGCCTTGAAAACCAAACTCCCATAGCCACCTTCCCCTTGTGCAAATGCACAATGCAAACACTCTTAGAATATTATGTTCTGGTTGTTGCACCAGAAAAAAAGGACATTGCGGAAATGGAAAGAGCGCAGAGAAGGACAGCCCAAAAGATCAAGTAATTCTGGGGGGGGGGGGGGGGCTAAAAGGCTGGCATTGCTTGGCCTAGAATAACACAGGCGTGCACAGAATTTTCTGTTCCACAGTGCTAGAGCCCAGGGTCATCCCATGGCACTTTTTGATGGGAGATTCAGGACAGACGAAAGGAAGGGCTTCTTCACAGAGTGCCCATTTGCCACCAAAAGACAGGTGTAGGAGTGACCACCAGCCGGAATGGCTTTAAAAGTGGATTGGACTAATTCCTGGAGGATAAAGTGAGCAATTGCTACTAGTCCTCATAGTTATATGCTGCCTCTAGTATCATAGGCAGGCTTGCCTCTATTTTGCTCCTGTTCCTGCTGATACTAATACATTTAAACCCCACCCTCTTTCTTATTGTAGGCCAACGTGGGTTCCTTGCATGATCTTCATGTTTCTCTATTTATCCTCACAACAACCTTGTGAGGTAGGTCAGACAAAGAGTCAGGGATTGGTGCTGTCACCCAGTGAGTTAAATGGCTGAGTGAGGAATAGGTCCCTGAAATCCCAGTCCAACGCTCTGACCACTATACCACACTGCTTCAGGTGCACCCCACATGGATGTATCCACAGTGGGGCCTCACAAGCCGGATGGTACTGGAGTGAACCGTTTAGTCATGTGGGTGCGGATAATCCAGACCAAAAGTCTGCCCTCTTGAACTTGAAGACTTTTTAAGGTCTCCCCAAATATAATGTGGCAGGGAGATGGCTTTTCCTGTTTCTGGTTTGGCTCTTAAGCATAAAATACAGTTATAGGATTAGGGCCCTGGGCATCAAGAAATTTAATGGGCCCATTGGCTCTATAAAGGTGGTCCAACTTGCTGGCCAGGTGTAAGTTTTGTTAAGGAAACAGCAGGGAATGTGTTTCTATGGGAAGGAATTAAGTCCTTTGCACAGGGGCAAGGAGAATCTCTACCCACTTCTGCCAGGCTGAGGATATAATTCCGGTGTTTCTCTGTAAGGTAAAGCAATGGATTGCGGTTGGGATTGTGCACTGGAAGCAAAGAGCATTGCCTGGACATTCTCTGGCCCGGGAGCAGCGGTCCTTGGAAGTCCTTAAGCCATGCCTATGCTCAAATAAACTCAAATCCAGCAAGCCTCCAGCAACGTCCTTCCACAGGAGACAACACCTGGAGCAGGCATCACACCCCAGAGCATCTTCCCACTCAGAGGGTCGGGGTTGCACAACATCAGGTCAGCTTGTTCTGCATGAAGCTGGTCAGGCCAATCTCAATTGCATCCTTCGAATGCGTCTAAAGCTTTAGGTACCCCGGAGGCAACAGGTCACACGGACCCAGAAATGAATTCCTGTTTCAGAACAATCCGACCTCCTGTCAAACCAAACCTCTTTGAGCTCCACCGCATGCCTTGCCTTTGAAGCTGCTCTCTGGGTATTGGGATGTCTGTGGCCCTCTGGGATCGCAGGGAACCCGTGCCCTGGCCTCACCCCAATTCCCAATCACTTTGGCGCTTTCTCGGCTTCTGTGTGGTCTCCCGCACCCTGCAAAAGGAGGCTGAAATGCTCGTCCTACGGCATGGTTCCTGCAAGGAAGAGTTCTGAACTAAAGCACGCTAGCATGGTGTTTTTAGACCTGCCCCAAAGCAAGAATTTGGCCCTGGGCTGATAATGATTCTGCACTCTTGGTTTACAGTGAAACAACACTTGGAATACACCACAATCAAGGGGGAAATCGAGGCACATCAACCAGAAGGAGACAGGTGCTTTTCTTCTTCTTACCTAAGGTCTGGTTATCCGAATTGAAGGTCCGCAGGCATTCATTCCGCTCAGATTCAATGGCCAACATGATGGAGCATTCAGGGGGGGTGCCCAACACCTACAGGAAAGTAAGAGAGGGGAAAGGTTTTCTTCCACTGGCAGTTTAAAAACCAACGTTTGTCCTTCTCAGACAGATGAGAAAATTATTAAAAGATTATATGACTTTTTACTTGACAGGAAAATGGAAGGAGAACTGGTTAAGGAAACTGTGATAACATGGGCACAAAACTTCGGATTCAATGTTGAGCTAGAAAAGTGGCAAAAACTATGGGAAAGAAATATTAAGGTAACATTAGCAACTTCATATAAAGAAAATTTATATAAAATGTTCTATAGATGGTATTTGTCACCAAGCCGATTAGCTAAGATGTTTCCAAATATTGGAAATGTAAACATAAAGTGGGTACTTTTTATCATATGTGGTGGACTTGTGATAATGCGAAAAAGTATTGGATTAAAATACATAGATGGATGGAGGAGATATTACAAAAACCCTTTGCTTTTAAACCTGAAGTTTTCTTGGTAGGCATCATACCGGAAGACGTTAACAGACAGGAAATGTACCTGATGCTGCACCTAATCACAGCGGCGAGGATTGCATTTGCTCAATATCGGAAAAGTGAGGAGCTGCCCGCCGATGGAGTGATTGTAAGAAAGATCTTGGACTGAGCAGAAATGGACAGATTGACTTTATCATTGAAGGAGAAAGAGGATACTGACTTCTATCTATGTAAGCCGCCCCGAGGCTTCGGCGAATGGGGCGGCATAAAAATGTTTAAATAAATAAATAAATAAATATCGAACTTGGGACTTTTTCTGTAACTGTCTGGAGAAACGGGACTAGGCGTAAACTTAGAGATGTTTTCAAATTATTATAAATTGATTTGAATTTGATTACAGAATGTTAAAAAATATGTAGTAGGGGGTTGACCCAGTAAATCCGATGTATGTGATGTTTGATGTTTTTAGTATTAGTTTAAAATTTTAATAATATATATATATAAAATAAAAAAATAAAAACCAATGTTTGTCCTTCTCAGGATAGCGAAAAACCACAGAAAAAGAAAATGCGCAGCCATAAAAACCAGGCATTTAAAAAGTGCAGGAAACAACAGAGACACAAACAACCAAGTTACGGTAGGTGCAATAAAACCAGAAACACAGAAAAAGGTCAGGAATGAGCGATATGAACATTTTTGGCCTGAGAGCCAAATTCCATTCTGTGGAAAATTGGGGGCGGTGTGTGTGTGTGGGGGGGAGGGACTCCAGTGGTGTGTGAAGCCGAAAGCAAAAGAGTGGGACTACAGTATCCCAAAATAGTTTTGGTTTGGTATTCCCAGGAGCAGTACAGGGATCGCAACCTTTAGGAATGGGGGAGGGATTCGGGAAATCCCTGCCTGCCCTGGCTTGAGTTTTGACATCTTTGATCTAGGACCAGGGCAGGAAACTTCTAGGTCACACGTGGCCCTCGGGGTCTCTCAGCCCAGGCCTTCAGCCCCTTCCAGGCCAAACCCGTCCCTGGCGCTGTCCCAGTTCTACTCTGCCCCTTTCTAGCTGCGCCATTCTGTACATGTGCCTTTGCATCCTGGCACCGCCTGAAATGCATTCTGGGAGTGAGGCTAGAGTTGGACTGGGGCCTGCACCGGAGGGGGTTCAGACAACATGATAACCCATGTTGTTGGAACATGGCTTATCGACCTGGTTGTGATGACAAATCATGGCGAACAACCCGATGACAAAACATGGGTTCCCTTCGTGGAGATTTCAGGGGAAGACAAGCCTTGTTTGCATGGCTGCTGCCGGCCTACAATCCTGTTAGTGCTTGGACCTCTTCCAAAACCATGCCCAAAAAATGCACATCTGCAGATGGATAAGGACGACCATCAGGATGCTATCCGTCCCCAAGAATAGTGGGGAGGGTGCAAAGGGCTCCTCGGGGAGGGGGCTAAGGCAGGAGGTCCTGGACATCTGGCGTGATCCGAAGGCTTCCTTGCCATCTGGAGATGCTTCCCCTTCTCAGCCACCATCTGTTTCATCCCTATTTATTGTCTGATGATCTGAACACCGGGGCGTATCGTCAGTTCTGAGTTCGGGTGCATCTCCCTTGCATACATTGGCCTACGAGAAGGCAACTGGCAGAAGGCAAACTCAGCAGAAAACAAAGCTCTCCTGTTCCAGATTAAGTGCGAAGCTGGGAGGAGTGATTACTGCTCAATGCGCCTGAGAAGGGAGTTCAGCACCGGAGGTGCGCAGACCTTCTATCCAGCTAACATGTAACTGCACCCATGAACATAAGGGTCACTGATGCTGTGGGTTGCGCTTATGCAGCAATGTAAAATACACACATGTGCAATTCAGTTGTTTGCCATATCTTTATTTCTTTATGGAGATTGCGTGGAATTTGGACCCTTTAAAGTTGTTTGCACACTGCACCTAGGAATGGGAGCGCGCACGATATTTGAGTTATCAAGGGCCTCCAAATTCTTCCTTGACCCTTGGAGTCTCTTTCATGCTCCCCTGCCTTTGAATGGGAAAAAAATCTGCATTTTTGATGGGGAAGGATGCTCATTTTTCAAAATATGCTCCAAAATGTGAATGTCACCAGCCATTCCTTAAAAGCAGAAAAAATGTCCTATTTTAAAATATTTATTTATTTTATTTTATTTAGAAAATTTCTATGCCGCCCCATTCGCCGAAGCCTCGGGGCGGCTTACAAATAAATCAATTAAAATACTATAAATTAACAATATAAAACAAGTTAACAATATAAAATACACATTTTCAACAATGCGTATATTCCGAATGGGCTTGCCTCTTTGGATACTTGTTCACATTCTTTTCTGAAAATTCATTTGTGTTTGTATTTGGGGTTGTGAGTGGGACTTGCTCCAATGTTCCCTGAACAAAAACAAAAAACAAATAAACAGAAAATGTACAACACTAATTGCAAACGATTCAGGCGGGACTCAGAGGATCCGGGTTCGAGTCCCCGCTCAGCCATGGAGCCAGCTGGGTGACTCTGGGCCAGTCACAGACTCTCAGCCCAACCTACCTCACAGGGTTGTTGTTGTGGGGATAAGATGGAGGAGGAGAATGATGTAAGCTGCCTTGAGCCCTTTGCAGGAAAAAGGCAGGATATAAATCGATAGATAAATAAATAAATAAATAAATAAGAACCAAAATCAAGGTTAAGAAGGAAACTCTCTACTTTGCTTAAATACACGGGTTCCATCCACAACTCCAAGGAGAATGCATGCCTTCAACAGCAGGTTTTGCTCAGATTTCAGCCTGTAAAGAGCTCGTGCATCGGTGTGGGTCAGGGAGAGCATTGCTTTCTTTCGGGTGTGCCCAGTCTGGAAAACATTTCTCAGATCAAGGCACTTACATTAGTTCTGCCAGGCTCCGGAGCTAATAAAGGTCCAGGCAGAGTGACCAATGCATTCGCTTCCCCAGTTGTGATGTGCGTGTTTTGAATGCTGTTTCTCAGAAGAAAGGACTAGATCCTTGGCGATGCGAAGACCGTGAGCTGCAGCTTCCTCCCACGATCCTTCCTTATCGGAGCGAACGAAATCTCAACAGCACTGGCAAGGGGGTATTTAGAGGAAGGGAGCCCCTCCCCGGGCAAGCAAAGATTCAGCTGATCTAAATAAGGACCGAGTTCCTTCCTAGTTTGCTTCCATTAGCAAAGTAACTGAACAGACAGCACTGGAGGGATCTGTGGGGAATCCATTTGGGGTGCAACTGATGGAATTCCAAACCGGACTTTCCTGATTCCACTCCATTTCCCCCAAGTCGATAGTCACTTGACCCGCATTCGGTTCCACTGACGCACAGACTATTATTGCATGAGGTTTTTAAAAGCTCAATAAAGTTGTGCTAACGGCAGAGCCCTGGATTGGCTTCGTTCTCAGACTTGCTCACATTTGAGAGTTTCCCAGGGCGACTTGACCTGAGCAGGCTGTCCTTTCGCCAGGTACCTTGCTACTGAGAAAACAAATCCACCCAGCAAAGTAAGCATAAGTAAGTGAATACAAAGTATATTATTTTGCAGAACAAATACTTTACTGAAATAAATCAGAGCCTGTGCATATAATACTGGTGGGAAGGGAGCGAGTAGAGATCCGTGATAGCATTTGCCCAGATCACGGATGCAGAGAAATAACAGCTGAACATAATAATTTAAAAATGTGTCTATTGGGAGTGCAAAGCATGTGACCCTAGTGGAAGATCAAAGTATGGATGCCAAACTAGATGAGATTGACAGCGACAAGGTCTTTGGGAAGCAGGGAATGTGGCAAGCTAATCATAAAGTCGTGAGAGGATGAAACTGACAAGAATATTTACAGAGGGAATAAGCTGTTCTCAGGGTTACACGATGAACTTGTAAATGCAATATTGCATGCACCCATTTACACACTTTATTATTATATTTATGTATATCCTGCCTATTCCCAGAGACTGGGACTCTAGGTGGCTAAAAATTTAAATATATTTAAACATTAAAACATTTGAGGCTGCATTTGCAAATTTATGCAAATATTTATTTATGCAAATCATTCTATTGCTACAAAGGCACTGATCTGGATGCTCAATGTACACCATTATCTTGCACACTTTTCTGGAAAGGGACATTCTGATTGTCAGTCTGGAAGCACTGCATGTCTGCCAAGCTCAAACGAAACACGTCTTCCAGATTGTATGTCCCGAAACAGGGGGCCAGTTCCAGGATTTATTTGGAGGGGGTGGGAGGAGAGATTTCAAGACCAAGATCAGCCAGAGCCCAACTTTTTCTGCTTGACCATCTTCACCTGAAAACCTGGCCAAGGTTGCCATTAGTGATGCTAGCTTGGAATGATAAGATACCCACCCAGCGGGAAGGTGCCAGGCTGCCGAAACTGAGAGGGTTTACTTCTGGGTAGGTATGCACAGTGTTCCATTCTTAAAACCTCCAGACCCAGATCAAAGCACTGACACTAACATTTAAAGCCTTAAACAGCTTGGACCAGGTGACTTAAGGAAACACCCTTTCTCCATGTGTTCCTGCCCAGACTTTAAAAT